ATAGGGGTTTCAGAAAGAAAGGTGAAAGAAAAAGGAGAGACAGACTCATTAAAGAAATAACATAAGGAAATAATAATCATGGAACTGGAGGATATGAATGTTTGAGTTTGAAAGGACCCATTAAGTACTTAACAAAATGAATGGGAAAAGATCCATTGTCAATACACTTATATTTTTGTAAATCTTACACTAGGAATAAACATCATAAGAGCCTTCAGAAAGGCTTTATATTAAGAATCAGTAGTCAAAGAGAACATCAACTTTTTAGTAGCAGCATTGGAAGTAGAAAATTAGAATATTTACTTGACAAAATCTTCATCAAGCATGAGGAAATAAAGTCATTTCCAGGCATACAAGGGCTCCAGTGTAGCTCATACGCACACTTTGTCAGGAAGCTACCAGAAGGCGTGCTCCACAAACAAAGGAGGAAGATCTAACACAGGAGAGATGAATCCCGTGAGAGGACCCATTCAATTCAGAAGAGAAACATGGGGAGTTTCAGGCTGATGGTGAAGAGATGCTTCAGCAGGCCCGAAGAGCAATCCATGTGGGAGCAGAAAGACTTTCCACAGGATTCTAAGTGTAATGTTTCTAGGGGGAAAAAATGAAAACTAATAGATTGTCCAATATGCTGGACCACACTGAGAGTTTTCTAAAAGGCTCTTATAGAGTCTGATGTTGAATTAGAGATAAGTATTTTTTTTTAAACCAAGCAAACAAGAAGTCATATCTTAATGCTAAGGAAAAACAGTTTTATAAGAAAAAATAACCTGCTACATGGCTCAGTCATAATATTTATATTGTGTTATAATTAAATACAGAATTGTGGTATAACTTACTGGGGGGAAAGCATATATTTTCGTTGAGAGGCAGAAGGGGACTAAAATAACAATTCCCATCAGTAAGGAATATTTAAATTAGAAAAAAAAAGGGTTGGTATATAATTTAGAAGTAACAGGTAACCATCAGAAGAAATAACTGAAAGAATTGAACGTGGCTGCTTGTGAAAAGCAGGACGGAAAGGTGGAGAGGGCTGGGGCAAGGACAGCTCCTCTCCACTGAACAGGAACCCTTGTGAGGACCATTTAACACAAGGCATGTACACGTACCATAAACACAAAAATAGAATTCAGAAATTTTTTGTTAGTCTTAAGATTCTCCAAAGGGTTCTAGATGGAATGCTAGACTGAAAAGATAGCCACTGATAAAACATTCCATGATCAGATAATCAGAAACACTTGATTCTGCATTTGCTTCATGGAACCTTACAATGTGTATCAGTGTATTAATGGTTCTGACAACTCCTATAATAAATTTGTTTGACTCAGCATTTCACAATTTACAGAACCAATTTGCATGTAATACATATTAAAATTCTGTGACTTAGTATTTTGTATAACACTGAGAAATTTTCCCATGCTGTTAGCAAAGTAAACTTTTAATTTTCTGATCCACAATAGATAGTTTCTTAAAAATAAACTACCTTCCTGTTCATAAGATACTGTGCAAACTAATGATTTTCCTTTTCTTGCTCTGAAGAAAAAGATAATATGTGATACAAACAGTATATAATGTAAATCTAGGTATGTTTATGCATTTTTAAACACTATGAGCGCACCTGGTGGCTTTCCGAAATTGAGGCCAGACAACTGAGGTGAAGGGAGTGGAGGAACGAAGGGTAATTTTTTGGAGGGGGGAAAAGAGAGTCAATTTTATTTTGCTTTTTAATTTAGAAGACAAAAGCATTAAAAATATGTGCTATTTTATCAAACGTGCATTTTGTGGGGAAAATGGTATAGAGTATGTCACTGAGATAGAAGTCCACAGAAACACTGTTTTTGAATATGGCTGTGACAGACTGTCATCGTCACCTAATTTTTAAATGACTGAGCATATGCATTTTAGGGTCAGAATATCCTTAATTACAATTTATTCACATTATTTGTGACCAAAAGTAACACTTGCCATGATCTTTTAGTCTTTATTGAAGAGTAGGAAATGGGAAAACAGTGTTGCTGTTGCTTGTTAATTAATTTACTTCAGTCATTTAAGAATCTAGAGACAATTAACACCATGATCCAAGTTAAACTTTGTGGCATTAAACAAAATTATAACAAAAAGACAACATACCTACATGTTACTGAGATTTTAAGTACATTTAGATCTTCAGTTGCTAAAAATATTCTGCTTACTGTACCACATGATTTATGTCAGGCTGAACGCTTTCAGGAGCACTGTAGGAACTCGAGAAGCAGCGTCTGTGCGTGTAGGAGGTTGGGGGCACTGCCTGTCACTCTTCATCTCGTCGAGGGAGGCTAAGACACCCACTACTCCTACTTCATCGCCCAGTCCAGGACACTCCTACTGGGGGTCACTGCCCCTCTGACAGTTTCTCTGAGTATGGAGTATCTGTTTGCTTTCTGTCCTGGGTCTCTCTTCCCAGATGGCATCCTTGTCCTGAGGCCTGAGGGGCTCGGGTGGAGGACGAGAACCCTGAGTCCGCTCAGCTTCTGTGTCATGGCCCTGGCTCACAGCTGCTGCCCATAAAAACTACCTTTGTGCCTCCTCCCAACCCCTCACCCCCTGCCCCCTGCCCCCAGTCTTTTCCTGGAGCTAGCTTGAGTAAGTTTTTCTTCCTTGAAACCTCCAGAAGTATAACTCTAGGGTCCTGAATATCTGGAGGTCAATTATTCAATGTGATGAGAACAGCTGCAGTTAGTAAAAGCTCTTGTATAACGTACATGTGAATACTTGTATTGCTCACAAAGCCACCAGTGAGAGGGCAGAATCCATTTGCCCAGTGATAGGGCTGTCTAGGTACCAGGACAACAGCTTGGGGCCAAAATGACTTGGGCATATCTGAGTGTGATCCAGGACATGCCTCTGTCTGAGAAGGCACAGTCCCTCAGGTCACACTTTGATGCTTTCTCTATGCCTGGAAGAACAAGGAATAGTCTCTTAACAATTTTTGATGACATGCACATGCACACATCTTTAGCTCACATACTGGAGTTCATTCTCCTGAAAAACAAATTTCCTTTCAGATATTCCTTGTGTCTTTGCTGGTGAAAAGTCACTCTCAAAATACCCAGGAATTGATGTGCAAAGAGAATTAGAAAGTACATGACTGGAAGTTCAGTTTATTCCAGGGTCGCATCATGTGGAGGTAATGGGAAAAGTGAGTGAGCAGTTCATGCCCTCTGCACCTGCCAGCCCCCGACTCTGCTTGTTGCTTCTGCCTGTTGGAGGGCACGTGCAGTCACACATGCTGAGCAGCTGAGAGAGCGCTGGCGGGGGCTACGTGAATATGCAGTGCTGCTTCTGTGAAACTCAGGTTCAGTGCTGTTCGGTGCGTGTCCTCTATTTCTGTTGTGTAAGCTCCACGTTTAACAGACCAAGCTGAAGGAGCTTTTCTCTTCAGACATACACAGGGAGATGAGGCTCTCACCCCTGTGCCCATCCACACAGGCTCATAAAGGCCATGGGAATCATATTTGGTGGGAGCAGTTTATAAGCTTCATAACAGATGTAGTCTTACCACTTTGTTATACCCCACTTTCAAATAAAAACTGTTTGCAGAGTAGCTTTTGGTTAATCCCAAACATCTCCTGTCTCCTCAGAGGAAACACTTCCAGGGGAACCCTGGCTCAGAGGTAATTTCCCTTGGTGGAGGCAATGCATGCCACATTGCCAGGATACTTGCCACTTTGTATGAAGACAGCCTCATCTTAAACAATGCTCATTTTATTTATTTTATTTTTTTTTGAGACAAAGCCTCAACCTGTTGCCCTGGGTAGAGTGCCTGCCATGGCATCACAGCTCACAGCAACCTCCAACTCCTGGGCTTAAGCAAGCGATTCTCTTGCCTCAGCTTCCCAAGTAGCTGGGACTACAGGCACCTGCCACAACGCCCAGCTACTTTTTGGTTGTAGTTGTCATTGTTGTTTGGCCGGCCTGGGCTGGATTCAAACCCTCCAGCTCTGGTGTATGTGGCTGGCGCCTTAGGTGCTTGAGCTGCAGGCACTGAGCCAACAATGCTGATTTTAATTAGAAGTCTTTAAAAGGAAGTGGGGCATGATAGGGGGAGTGAGCTGCATGGGAAAACTCTGGAAACTGAGTATCTCATTGGGGTAAGTGAAGTTCTTGGTCATCCCCAGAGGACTCTCTGACCAAGGAGCTGCCCTTGCTCCTAAATCTGCACTTAATGAGCTTTGTCCTCCCACAAGGACCCCAATAATCACAGCTAACTACTTATGGTGAGGACAGTGCCAGCGCCAATGCCAGCTTCTAAACTACTCCCATAATCGGACTCAGATTTTTCCAGTGAAACTTTATTAATAGTAAATGGGCACACACGGCTGTATTTAGCACCACGTCCATGACGAGGAGCAGCTCAGAGTCTACAGCCGGGAGGAAACCAGAACCCACATTCTCTTGGCCTCCCCTGCCATTGAGATGATGCGATACTTTTTTGGGATCGCTTACAGGTTTTGAGACCCCTTGTAAAATGAGCTTCTATGTCCACTTGCTCCCGGAAAGCTGGACTCGGGGTGGGTCAGGGTAGACCCCTAATTGTGCGTTGTCCATCGTCTTTCATTTCAGTCTGAGCTTGTTCTAGCTCCTCTCACAGGACTGCTTTTCCCATGCAGGTGATGGCATAGGACCACTTAAACCACTCTCTGTTATAATACGTGTGCTTCTGAAATTTTTTTGTTAAAATTTCCTTGTAAAACTCAGCCATTTTTTCATCATTTAATATTGGTTCCTGACATGACTCAGTTCTCAGCTCTAGGTCTTTAGCTTTTAGTCTTGAGTGAATAAATTCTTCTTTTTCCTTACTGAATCTGAAGTTCTGGTTTGCCCAGAACTGTTGATTAGATTCTTATGTGTCTTGTCTTAATTTTCAAAGCTTTTGTTATGATGGTGATTCTTTTTCAGGGATGTAAAAGTGAACAGGTCAGAGATCTGAATATTTATCTGTGGGTCCTATTCAATCACAGCAGGATTTTCTTGGAGGGCAGAATCTTGAGACCTGGAAAACCAGCCATGCACTCACGAAGCACAAAGATGGTACCAATCACAAAGGAAATAGAAATTGCTCTGAGGTAAAAGCTGTTGTCTTTGTGTTCTATTGAATACCTAGCATAATAGGCACTCAGATCCTGGCTCAGTGCTGTGTGCCCGCACTTGGCACCATACTCCAGAGTGAGCAGCTGGCAGCACCCAGGAAGGTGCAGCAGAGAGGAGAGAGAAGGGTCTTCCTCCCCTGCTGCAAGTCCGCCATGGCCTTGTGTCCACCAGCTCCCTGGAATGAAGGATAACTTCACACTCCTCCAGTGCTCATAGTCTCGGCAGTAGGCTCCTACACATTTTCTCATTCAAATCCCACTAGAACCTGCAGGGTGGGAAGGGCACTAATTTCTGGAGCTGAGCAGAAGATTGAGTTGCATGAAATCATATAGCTACTTAAGGGCGAGCATCAGAGCCATGGTCTTCAAACTCTCCCCTCCAACCCAAATATGTCTTTTTTTTCGGAGTTGGAACAAACTAAATGAATCCCAGGTATTGTTACCAATGCATCTGTAGGTGAGAATGGACATCTGATACTAGGTCCTACATTTGATGCCTCTTCCCATCACAGAGAATGGATTTCCACTGTTAGGAAAACAGGAGTATGACTCATTCCCAACAGTAACAGTGGCTTCCTACTACAGTGAGTCTCACATGTAGAGCCTGGGGGTGATTCTGGTAGCTCTCATCTACCCTTGAGAAACATCTGGATAGTTGGCTTAAATTAAGTATTTCTTCAGTGAAGAAAACAAGCATTTAAGAATCTATAGTTTCTACATATATAGAAATGTATACCCATACATTTTCTAATAGCTTTTTCTAATGCTTTTGCATATAAAAAAGGGATATTACTAATACCTTTTAGAGACAGGAATAGACACTGCCTTGATAAATAGTAAAACAGTGTCTAGTGCTCAGGACATGACTGTGGACAGAAGACAACTACTGACACCAGTGGCTAAGTTGTCAGGTAGTTGAGAAGATGAGCTTACAGCCATATATGTGTGCCGCATGGACCCCTCACAGAGACTTTTGTATCCAATAGGAAACATTTTTCATAAACCAAGAAGAGTTAATATTTAGTATATGAGCTAAAGTAGGGACCGAAAACCATGTACCTGGGTTTCTCTTGTTAGCAATTAGAAAAATTGGCTTGACATTTGAGAGTCAGCTTATATTCTTAGTCACAGGGTGTGGGGGAAGATAAGATGGTAAATGCATAAAGAAAAAAAATAATTTTAGATAATATCATCTTTAAAGGAAGTAAAACAGGATAACGGTGTAGTGGTAAGGCGGGGCAGACCGCTGTAGACAAGGTGAGCAGGGAAGGCCCTTCTGAGATGATACATGAGAACTGAGCCTTGAATAAGAAGGTAGCCAAGCGAGGATCCAGCAGAAGGAACAATAGGTACAAAGACCCTGAATCATGAACTAGGTAGTAGGTTTAGGGGAATGAAGAAATAGTACTACGAAAAACAAACAGAATCTCTGCCTCCTCAATTTTTAATCATTCTAATACTATCTTAATCCTTGGAGTACGTACTGAAATTCTCTGACAATTAATTAGTTATATTATACTTAAAATCATGCATAAGTATGTATTATAATTTAAATACTTCTCATCTCCAAACTTCTAGATCACTTATATTTTTCCCTTCAGTATACCATCCGAATTTCCCCCCAAATAGCTACATCTTGAAGAACAGCGATTTTAACAATTCTAGTTAATTATAAATGACTCATAATTTTAACACAGACTTCTGTTGGGCTTGAAATGCTTAGGAGTATACTAAATTCCAGAAACATTTTTCACTGGTTCATTCAGACTTTGAAATTTGAGTGCCTTTTAGAACTTGTCTTTAAGAATTGGTGATCACTGCTGCTTTTGCTGAGATTTGGTGCCTATGCATATTTTGAAGGGGTCGTTGTTGCTTTTGCTTTCTGTTTATATGTCCATTATAGTTAGTGCTAAGTGCTGAGGGACTGGGCCTTCTTTTTGTTCATATTTGTTTTTGTTTTAATTTTTGTTAACATGTAGACTATAGACTAAATTTAGAAAATCTTTTTTTTATTTTGAGACAGAGTCTTACTCTGTCACCTTGGGTAGAGTGCCATGGGGTCATACCTCACAGCAATATCAAACTCTTGGGCTTAAATGATCCTCTTGCCTTAGCCTCCCAAGTAGCTGAGAATACAGGTACCCTCAATGGCACCTGGCTAGTTTTTCCATTTTTAGTAGAGATAGGGTCTCATTCTTGTTCAGGCTAGTTTCAAACTCCTAAGCTCAGGCAGTCCACCTGCCTTGGCCCCCAGAGTGCTAGGATTACAAAGCCGCTGTGCCTGGCCTAGAAAATCTCTGGAATAAAGCATACTAGATTGATTTAGATATTATGGTATATCTGTAGTGGTATTTGACCATTAAATGTTCTAGGAAATAACCTGCCAAGCTCTTAGGCTTTTAGAAATGACTGTCCAAATGAAGTAGGTGTTGTAGTTGAAGGTCTGACTGGCATTTCTATCTCAGAAGGTTGGGGGCAGGGAAGGCTTGGCAGGAGTGTGGCCCTCAGGACTGCCTTTGCTGAGAATGGGAAGGAGGAAACCCATGAGTGTTCTCCAGGGAGAGATGGCTTTAGAACCTCATCCAAAGGAGACAGGCAGAAAAGCAGTGACTAGCTTCTGAGGTTCTGCGGTGGAGGGGTGCTGAGGGGGAAGTGAAGCAGGACTACTTTTCTTCAGGTAGTGCTGCTTACAAAAAGGGGGTGAACCTGTGCATCCACCCAAGAGGGAGTAACAGGGATCAGATTTACTCTTCCACCTAATATAATAATAATAATAATAATAAAATCAATGAGATCATGTTTTTAAGACTTTAGACTTTGGATTAAACAGTGATGATACCTGATAGAGGGACAAGTGAAATGAGCCCCTTGATGGCCCCAGCAGCTTGCCTTGAGTTTCCAGGCCACAGTGCCAGGAGGGGTCCAGGGAGCGTCTAAAAGACTCTGAGTGGAAGAGGGGAGCTGAGAGTCTGGGGAGACAAAGGCAGCTAGAGTTTGGAGGACATAGTCCCGGAGAGCAGAGAGTAGCTCAGAGAGAGAATCCCTGAGATCTATAGAGGAGTCCTCTTGATTACACAAAAGACTGCTGATAAAGGATGTGAGGAAACTACATGGGGCAGGAGGGAAAAAGCATTCAAGGACAATAATTAATAGTGCCTGGCCTTCACACAGCCTATTCCCAATAGCCAGCCTAGTTCACAGGGTGTGGAAAAGTGAAGTCTTGTTTCAGCAGAGGGTATAATTTGGCCCTTGACTAAATACCGCCTTAGACGTGCTTAACAAATCATAAAGCACACGCAAAAGGATCAAACTGTTTCCAAGTAGATTCACTATATTACAAACAAAGCTCAAAAATATTTTTAGGAATGCAAAAATATCTAGTCCCACCAAAATAAATCACAGTGTCTGGCATCTAATCAAAGATTCCTGGGCAAACACACTGAGGACGATAACCAATCACTCAAAAGCATTCAGAACTCACAATCTGCAGATAAGGATGGTAAAAACTGTTGTAATTGTATTCTGTAAGTTTAGAAAATGAAATAGAGACAAGGAAGGTATTGAAAAAGACATTTTTAAAAACGTGTCTCTTTTCTCCGTTGTCTCCTTTTACTTTCCCCCTCCCTATTAGATGCCAGATTTTACATGGCTCCCAGGTGATTAACTGAAAGTAAATTGCAATTTTTATTTGATTATATTTATTTTAATACAGTAATCACCCTTGCTAGGCCTGTGACCTCTTAAAACAGACTGAGAGCTGTGAATTTATTGGCCTTACGAATGTGTAATCATATCTTACATTTTCTTTCAAAATTAAGCCTCAGCTTATGAGTTGGCAAGGAACTGAACTTAACAAAATTCTTGCTCTAAAGTGTCTGTTAGAGAATAAATCTTGGCAGTTTGGGACTAAAAGTAGTCACGAGAACAGATGCAGCTAGAATATTTAACAGTTTATTAGATCCTTGGGTTGACAGTAAATATAGTTTAGAGCTGATGTTTAGGTTCTGCAAGCTTTATTTTGAACAGTGAATATCTGTGTGCCATCAGTATTAAAAAGTCATATCCTGACATAATTCTTTAAAAATAATAAACATTTTTTTGACCAGTTTACAAGACTTTTCCTTAGCTTTTTCCTCCCAGTTATGTAAATGCCTTTCTGTACATTGGAGTTCACGTGGCTTTTGCTTTTAACAGAGACATAAACACCTAAAGTATATCTCTGGGTCAGAGAGTAGTCAAGACTAAAGATATAGCAATCTTGAGAAAGGTTTATTGAAATTCAGCAAAACATAATTATGATTATTCTTGGTTTTAAAAAAGGTAATCCTTGTTCCAGTTTATAGCTGGTAATATCTACAGATGTATAATTAACATTATATTATGGAGTCTCTAATAACTTTCAGTGCTGAATAATACTTTACATTTTATACGACCATTCTGGAGTTTATATTTCCTTGTCAGCTACTGATGAAGGAAAACAAACATTTTTCAGAAATGCTTTCAGAAGTATGAAATGTATCAGTTATTTAGACCTCACTTGAATGTGACAAACTGTAGCGTTTCTTTTTCTTGCTTTCCTGGTATTCTTGAGGTGTATGAGAGCTGGGACAGGCAGAGGCACGGTTAGCAGCCTGCTCTCCCTGCTCTGACGTTACTGGCAGAGAACAGGATGGCGAAGGTGGCAACAGGAGAACACAGCATTCCTCTCCTCTGCCGCTGCCCCATGCCCTCTCTGGGCTGTGCACGTGTTGGTCACATTGGCCTGGCTTTTCTATGGTTAATAAACAGGTGTCTTTTCTTGCCTGCCTTTTATAAACTACCTAATTTTATTCATCTTTAGTTCTGGCTCAGAAAAACAACACTGAATTATTTCAAAGGGCATGAACTCATTTGCTACTGGAGAGGTTTGACACTGGATTTCCAACAAGGACATTTTCCCCCTAAAGGGAGCAATGATGTTTCCTTCCGTCTGGAAA